AATCTTCCTACACAAATGCCCATAAGGGCAAGTCTATATATTGTCAAATGTGTACAACAAAGAGAAGCAGTTTCCCCCAGGTTATAAAGCAAGTGGAGTCCTGCCAGTTCACTCATTACCATAACCATTGGACCCCATAACCCAAGATACTCATATATTACAATGGAGGCAATAAGGGATAGATTTAGTGACTTAGGTTTTGCATCTAAAACATTTACACCACTTGAGTCAGAACAGAACTGTTTCTTTGAGGAGATGATTGGGATCTAATCTGGAAGCACACCCTCTTACTCCTCTACCAACACAATTCAACCATGACAAACAAGGGTTACAGTTAAGTGATTGTAGAAGAAAATTCTCTCACTAAAGAGAAAGTTCTTGTGCAACACCAGCAACACCAGTCACTACACATGCTGCTATATATTGCAAAACATCTGACCAGCAATAACTATGTCTGTCTTTGCCAAAAAGTGGTTTGGAGAGGAGGAAAAGATATGTAAACAAGATTTTATCTGTTCTTTGGCTTTTTTTTTTTTTTTCCTTTAAAGGGTTCAGCACTCAAAGTTCAAGCTAAATGCTGAACTGCATTATTGAGATGCATAAAATGTATATAGATTGGTTTCAGCTTTCCAAAAAACCAAATAGTGCTTAACTATACAGTGTTCAAAGCAAAATCCAAAATCATGGTTCCTTTTTTGTTCCAAAAATTCAGCTGTAACAATTACAAGCTTGCACTGGCATACCGCTTAGCTTTTCAAGAAAGCTTACTTGCAAGTTGCAAAATGCATTCATTTCTGAATTCATGCCCTAAATTAAGATGACTGGCATGCACCTCTGTTCTTCCTCTGATTTGAGGTCATGACCATTGATTTAAAATAGCCTCCCCACACATCTAGAGACAGAAATTGGGAAATCTGGGACACTGTCTCCCTTCCCCACCTATCCCAAGTCAGCAGCACTGTTGCAGGCAAAGCAGGAGCAGCCGCACACTGCCCCTGCCCCAGCCTTGGCACTTCTTCCAGCCTCTGGATTAAGCTTAGAAGAGTGATGAGGTGGGGGACGGAGGAGATATCCCCACAAAGAACAAGAGGCTCCCCTGTGCCTTTCAATCTGCCCCACCACCCAAGGGGACCCAAGCAACAGCACCCAGGCTCAACACCCATTCTGGCCAGGTTGGGCAGAGCCCAGAGCCACCCCCATGCCTCCCAAAACACAGGTCCCTGGCAGCCAGGAGGGCAGGATGTGGGGAGGGACCACACAGCTCCCAGGTCCCAACTCCACTGGGCTATGAGCCAGCCAGGGCCGCAGTCCCAAGAGAGGGCAGGGGTCCAAGCCACCCCCATCCCCCCTGGGGCTCTGTGCAGTGACGGCAGCCACTCCCTAGTTCCAACTCCACTGAAAGTCCCAGAGCAGAGCCCTGAGCTGCCCCACCAGACATAGATCCCCAGCAGCCACCCCCCAAACACATGTCCTCAGGGGCAGTGGTCCAAGCCTCTAATCCCCTCTCTACCCCCACCGGGGAAGCCCCTTCCTCACCTGGCCTCCACACAGTGGCAACTCCCTGGTCCTGACTCCCCTGTGCTATGAATTTGTCTCATGCACAGTAGAGTCAGTCAGGGCCAGCTTTGGGGGGGCGATGTGGGTGACTGCCCAGGGGTTCATGGTCAGGGGAGTGCCACACACACACACACACACACACACACACACACCCCCCGTACTCAAGAGGAGTTGGACCAGGCATGCTCAGTCAACCCAAGACATTTGTTAGAATTTTCATCTACTGACCGCGACAGCTTATGAAATCTGAAGCTGGGATGTATGGTCATCCTACTTACAGTATTACACAGAGCCTAGAAGCTGCTCCTGTCAGGTGGGGGTGGCATTTTCCAAGCAGTCAATAGAGTTAAAGCAAACTGAAAGTCACCACACTGGACACCTAACCAATGTTCCCTCTAAGGAGTAGCGGTCTGTGAGCACACCGCCTCAGTCCGTGAGCACACCGCCTCTGTCCAGTGTGGGACACTTATTGAAAGGGGCTGGGGGCCGGGGGCCTGGAGCTGAGAGGCTGGCTCCGGGGAAGTGCTCTGCTCCCCCGCATCACGGCTGGGGAGTGGAGCACTTCCTCAGAGCCAGCGGAGCCTGCGCCAGCCCCACACCCCAGCCTCCATCCTTCCTGCCTTGCATCACCTCAGGGAGGAGCCGCTGCCTGCCCCAAGTGAGGCTCCACCAGCTCTGGGACACTGCGAGACACGCCCTCTGAGGCCATGCCAGGGGGCGAAGCAGTGTCCCGGAACCAGCAGAGCCTCACTTGGGGCAGGCAGCGACTCCTCCCTGAGGTGAGGCAAGGCAGGGATGGAGGCTGGTGCGAGGGGCTGGCGCAGGCTCTGCCAGCTCTGGAGAAGTGCTCCACTCCCCGGCCCTGATGCGGCGGAGCGGAGCACTTCCCCAGAGCTGGTGGAGACCAAGCCTGGCTCCTGCCCCAGCCTCTCCTGGTGTGCGGCCTTGAAAAGGCTGTGTGCGGCCACACTTTTAGTTGTGCGCGGCCACACACGCACACACCTTAGAGGGAACCTTGCACCTAACTCCTCCAGTGCTCTTGAAAATTGATCTAGGCTGAGATATTACGGCTAGGGACAGATATTACACATAAACTGGTTTAAGTGATCAGAAACTGGTTTAAACCTGTAACGGAATGTAAGTTCAGTGCACATAAACCAGTTTCAAAATGGCTGAAACTAGTTTAAGACGAACCTGGTTGAATGTAGTATCAGACTTAAGTGATTTGGGTCAAACCGGATTATGCAATGTGTGTCCTAGATCCCTTCCTGGTTTAAGTTAAATCAGAGTCCCCCAGCATCGTGGATGCTTTGCAGCCTTGGGCTGGGCTGAGCTGTGCTCCAGAGAACAGGGCCTGGCCCCAGCCCTCTGCTTCCTAGCCAGAGCTTCAGCAGAGACTGCAGGCACAGCAGGGTCTGCCTGGCTTCCCCCTGCTCCATCCCTCCCTTGCTGCTCAAGCAGGAATCCCCCTCTCCCTACCCTCTCTCACAGCATGGACCCCAGCCCCACAAACCATAGGCATACGGTATACCAGCTAATGCTGGGAGGTGCCTACATGTGCATCTCCAATTTCACTGGGACTGGCAGACAGCACAGTGTATGCTTAGGGCTTTTTGGAGCTAATCAACAGGTCAGCTGGTAATGTCCCTCTGTTCCTTCCTTGCAAAAAGTCATTTAAGAAGAGCTTGAACTAATGAGAGATGCTTTTGTTTTGTTGATGGGCTGATAAATGCTGTGTTAACAAATCCCTGCTGGCTCCCTCACCTGTCAGGTTTGTATGAAGAAACAGGGAGAGAAATTAAAAACCTCAGTATCATCAACAGATGCATGCACTACACACATCTCCTTTGCCTCAGAGTGCTAGGCCAGGGTTGGTATCTAGCAACTCTCTCGCCCCTTGAGCAGCAAGCAGGAGAAAAGCCTGGGATTGCAGACATGGTGGGGGTTTATACCCCTCCCTAATCAGAGCCTGTCAGGGCCTGGCCATACCCCTCACTCCCGCAGATCAGTTCTGTAGAAGGGAAGGGAAGGCTGCTCTAGCACAGTGGTTCCCAAACTTTTTTATACTGCAGACCAGCAAACTCACTCAAATAATTTTGGCAGACAAGGTATAATGTACCTAGTATAAAAACAATCTAACTTACATGTTTAAATTTAATTTTTACATGGGGGGGGAGGGGGAAGGGTTGCAAGGAGTTGCCCTGCAAGTAAAGGCGCAGCTCCAGCTGGGTTGGGGCACCACAGCCACGGACACCGGGGGACCCTGCGGGGAGGGGGCTGTGCAGCTGGTGGCCAGGGGGAACCTAGCTGGGACTGCCCAGGAAGAAGGGGTTTTGCTGCCTTCCCTAGAAGCAAGCAGCAAAGCTGCCTCCTCACCCTCTGCCCTGGGCATTTCCTCACCTGCATCTCCCTGCTCGCAGCCACGGGCAGAGCTGTGGGCCCCTGCACCTGCTGCATGAGCAGCGCTTTGCCAGACATAGCTATGGTGGTTGGAGTGGGACAGGGCACACAGAGCTGGCTGCCTCCCTCCTGGGACTGCCCCACCCAACTTTAACCCCACAGCTTACTGCTGGCAGTGGAAGCTGCTCATGTGGCCAGACAGATGGAGGTCCAAGCAGGGGGCTCGTGCCACGACCCAACAGCCAACCCTTTGTGGCCCAGTCGTTGGGGAAACTCTGCTCTAGCACCTCCGGCTTCTAGCCTGAGTCACTGCAGGCATGTGCCAGCATTTCTAAGTCCAGAGGGAATGTCTGTTCAGTTGCAAACTGATTCAATCTACGCAGGTTAGATTAACCTGAAAAGACAATCAGTTCAGGCTCAGGCTTTTTGAATGCCTGTCCCTAATCTAAATCCCCAGGTAAGTGAGAGAGGCTTGTTTGGTTTAACAGGTTTTAGTTAAACCTATGACCCTGTTGTATTAAGAAGTGTGAAGCACACTCAAATGGATCTTTAAAACAAACAAACAAACAAACAAACAAACAAAAACCCTGCCAGAGTACACCCTAAACCTCAAAGGACCCAAGTGCAGATAAACTTGGGTTTGGCTGGGTTAAGCCTTGCCAACAAATCTGCCATTGATTCAGAACTCTTCCCTGTACCAGAAGCATCTGCAGTCAGGTGCAGAATGCTGTTTGACAAACTGCAGTCAACATCTTTAAATAAAAGGAAACCAAAGTGCAAACATTGCTTTTACTTTACATAGCTTGTCAAAGAGGTTAAGGAGGGCAGGGGAAGCAAAACTTGTTTTTGTAAAGCCACACATCAATCCAGACCATAACAATGGCATTGGCACTGAAATGAGAATGTGATGAAACATGTTATATACACAATATCCCAGCTTGCAAAAGGAAACCAACAGCTGTATGGACCAGACAGAGTAAATAAATAAGTTTAATCTCAAGTATGATGTTGCATTTGAAGCTCAAATTTAAAGTATTACTTACTCACACAGCAGAATACCATTTTCTAATCCAGACCGAAAATCTTTGTCACCAAAACCTCTGCCTGTTGCTTGCTGGAAAGGAAAATAAGAGAAAAACATGTTAATTAGCACAGACATTTAAAAAAATGCTTTGTAATATTTATTTACAATTTCTAGGGGAAATGTAATGACCCAGCCCTTTGGGTATTGCCTGGAAAGATAAAAATGTTTACCGTATCATGACGTTCTTCAGTGTACTATTTAATGCAAAGCATGAAAGCTTTTCTTCAAAACCTTAGGAGGTAATTAGAGAAATTAGACTAAAGTCAGGAGCAAGATAGCACCATAGAGAGTAACTTGATCAGAGACGCATGAGTTTTCATAAACAGCCTGCTTTGTCAGATGGTGTCAATGAACATTTATTTATTGCATTTGCATTTGATGAAGTAGACTACTGCCTACAAAAATTCATGCCTCTCTGATCAAGTCTCTAGGGACACCTATACATGTGCAGAGAGGCTGCTCCGATGCACTATAATTATAGCACGTCGGAGCAGACTCAATTGAGTCTGCTGGAGTGTAGTAATTACTGCACTCCATCAGACTCCACCATCATGTGTATCAGCATCCCTGCACTGAAAAATGACAGCAGGGGCACTTTATCTAAAGCTCATTTGACGAGCTTTAGTTAAAGTGCCCCCACCACCATTTTTCAGCATAGGGACGCTGATACACATGACGCTCTGGGCACTTTAATTAGAGCAGCTCTCATAGCTGCTCTAATTAAAGTGCTCCCCCTCCCCCCCCCACACATATTCCTGGAGCACATGTCCTACCTCCTACTTAGAAAGATAGAAATATAAATTAAACCATTCTTCAAAGTTTACCATGAGACAAGTGGTGTTCTAGCCTTCAGAATAAGTGTTTAACATTTTAAAGGGAAATTATCATAGCCACACAAAATTCAACGTTCTTACTTTATATTTCCCACCTTCATCACCTCAGAGTGTTTAAAACAAATATATATACACGCAATCGGACCTGTTGCAATTGCTGCTGGCCCCACAGATCTGGCCTGGGCAGAGCCCTATAGTCCAGATCCAAACTGGGGCCAAGGTCAATTTTGACAAGTCTGAGATCTGGAAATTATTTTATTTATATGCAATTTGGACATGTATTCATTCATTAGACAGTGGAACCAAAACTGAATTAACTGACCAAAAAGCCATCACATGAGAATCTCCAATACAGAATGGTTTCAAGCCAGTAGCATTATGTTGCATTTAACTGCAATGTTTGTGTATTTTACTCAGATGCTTCAAATGCAGTATTAGAAAAACAACTGAAAGGGAACTCAATAATGCATTAGGAAAGGTGGGAAGGTCTATAAACTGTGTGCGCTTATAAAGGAAGTGGCAATGAATGAAGTGTGGAAAGATGCTGCCTAATTTAGAGATTCCATTTTGCTCTGTGGAAGTATTAATGAACGGGAAAAGAAAGCGAGACTGCACTTTTGGAAAAAGAAGCTTCTAATACTTCCCTATAAAGGGCAAACCAACTGGTGGCACTGAAAGGAGCAATCATCTGGGCTCCAATTCTGCCCCAGAAAGGTCATTCACTCACTCACATCCCTATATTGTCACATCCGGTTGGTCTGTGGATGCTTGAGATTAGACAGAGATAGATATATAGATATTCACACTCATGGAAATCACCCCATAAGCAGTTTGTGTCCTTCACTGCCTGAGACAGAGGCAAGTCAGCTCTAACTTCAGGTACTCAGACCAGTTTTATTCCTTTCAGAAACATTTTTGAAACCACAATGAATGAACAAACCAAACCACAATAAGTAAAACAAACAAAAATTTAAAAAAACCCTTTGTTCTCCAAACACTGGACAGGGGCAATTGTAGCTCTGGACTTCTCCTTTTTCAGCACTCCCTCCTGAAGTTCTTAAGCATATTTGTGGCTCCATCCTGATTAGCAGGTTATCACTTCCAGCTGGCCACTAGCCTCCAAGCCAGGCACACTATCAATTCCTGACCGTCTGCAGCTGGGTTCCAAGCCCTTGAGGGGCTGAGCAGCTCCTTACACACCTCGCTAACAACCCCCATAAAATCCACAAGCCATCAATGAGTATAATGTTGTGATAATGGTATTTAGCTTTAGTAAAATAATGATAGATGCTAATCTGTCTACCTTTTAATTTGGAAGTACAGGGCACTGCATGGCCATTCATGTTTGGCCACTCACATACACATGGACAATCCCTCACAGGTGAGGATGATTGTCTTCCATGATTGCTTTCTATGACTGATGAGGCCATAGATGGCTGATAAGGCTGATCTGGGATCACAGAACTTTGTTGCAACTTGGCCACGTGTTTCTGCGAGGGCAACTTGAGGTGTCTCCTATACTCTGTCCATATCTCAGCTCTGTACAGCAAGGTGGGAATAACAACACTTGATAAAACATGAGCTTGGCTTTGGGACTGATATCCCAATCTTCGAACACGCACTTCCTCAGGTGTCTGAACACTGTACTTGCTCTTTTAAAGGCAATGTTGGATTTCTTCATCAATGAGGGTAGCCTTCTGTGAGAGATGGCTTCCGAGGTATGTGAAATAACATTCTCCAGAGTTTCACCATGATTCTGAATTACTGGAGCTGGGGACTGCTCTAAGAGCTTGGTGATGGAGGACCTTAGTCTTCTGAATGTTAAGCATCAGTCCCATTTTATTGTTTGCCTTGGTAAAGACACTAACAACTGTCTGAAGGTCTGCTTCCAAGTGAGCACACACTACAGCATCGTTGGCGTACTGGAGCTCAATGATTGAAGTTGAGGTGGTCTTGGTTTTGGCTTGGAACTGGCTGAGATGAAACAGCTTACCATCCATTCAGTAGTTAACTCCACTCTGACTGGAAGATTGTTGGTGGTCAGATGTAGCATCACAGTAAGAAATATCAAGAAGAATATTGGAGTGATTACAAAGCCTTGCTTAACTCCCATTTTAACCTCAAAGGGACCTGTTATAGATCCGTTACAGAGAATCACCACTCTCATACCGTCATGGAGCAGGCAAAGAATGGTGACAAATTTTGGACAGCAAGGTGATCCCCTCTGTAAATTTCCAGAATCGGACCCGTCTCCCTTCTTGAAAACTGTCACATTCATGGTGTCACTTAGGTCATTTGGGATTTCATCATTCCAGCTCCTTATGATGAGGGCATGGAGCTATGATGCCAGTTCCTCTCCCCATTGCTGCAAGATTTTGGCAGGGATTCCATCAGCTCCAGATACCTTGTCATTCATCTACTTGATGGCTTTCTTCACTTCATCAAGGGTGGGAGGGATTCTGGAAACATCTCTGACTAGATGTTGCAGGATACAGTTGAGAGCACTCTCATCAACAATAGATTCTTGATTGAAAAGGTCTTAAAAATGCTTTTTCCAACAGGGAGTTGATGGCTCCCCTTTCTTTAACCAGGTCTCTTCCATCCTTAGGTCTCAAGGGGGTTGATCTCTGAGAGCTCAGACTGTAAATGGCTCTGTTGGCACTGAAAAAAAACATGCGTATTGTGGATATCAGTGAGATGTTGAATCTCCTTCGCCTTGTCTTTTCACCATCTGGATCTTCATATCACAGGTCCTGCTTTGGCTCATTGATAATTCAGTATCTTTTGCTTGGAAGTGATGTCGTTCTGCCAAGCACAAGTCTTTGCACTTTCATTCCTAGCATATATACAGTAGCTTATGTTAGTTAGTTCCAATAACTGTATTAGGTTGACTTAGCTCATATTAATGGCTTATTTAGGTAGAATTCCAGATGTTCTCTCCTCATTTCTTTAAATAGTTCACCTCCAGATACAGCCTTTTAATTTGGCTTGCTGGACCAATGGATGCTACTCTCAGGCTCTGGTTGATTAAGGCTCAAGGGAGCACTTAGTCATAAAATATGGATGGTAGAAAGAAGAGAAAAAAACTTTCAAATCAGTGATATGAGCTACTCTTTAGCATTCTGTACCTAACACATATGGAGAACTTCTGTTACCATATTCCATCCAAGTAACTTTCACCCATACTAATGCAATACAGAAAACATTTACGGGCTGTTTCAGCACAGTCCACATTTCCAGCCTTACACCAAACAATGAAAATATTTAATCGATCAAACATAAGCAAGCTACCTGTCTCTGCTCACAGCCTATTACCAGTTCTTCAGTGTAAAGATAGCACTGGCTCTGCCTGCCTCCCCACCTTCATCTAGTTAAAATTTTGAACAAGCACCTTTTTGTTAAGGATGTAAATATCATTTTAAAAATTATCCGTTTAACCTCCTCTAATTATATTGGTTAAACAGTTAACCAATAACACAGTAGCTTGGACACTGCTGCTCCTGGGGCCCTTTGGGGGGGAGGGGGAGGGAGAGAAGGAGGCAGTGGCAAGCCCAGCCGGACCCACATGAAGCCCTGGGCTGGGAGGGAAGGAGCACTTGTGAACCACGAACTAACTGCTTAACTGAGGAGTCATTAGGGACATTTGTACACGACACGGGGGTTTAATTCTCCCTGAATTGAAGAGGTCGTTTTTTTAAAAACACTGCTTCAATTTAAGGTGAAGTAAACCCCTGTGTCATGTATACCCGTGTTGGAGCCCAATGCTTACCTGCCTCTCCAGCAGTGGGGAGGGGAGAGCGAGCTGCTGGCAGGCAGAGCAGTCCCTGAGCTGCAGGAGAGGGGAGCCAGTGGTTCCCTCCATGGCTGCAGCTGGTGCTTCCCTCCATGGCGGCAGCAACAGCAGCAGCAGCCGCTGCCACTCCTCCCCCTCTGCCCCCAGCAGCACTTGCCCGCAATCACCCGGCTTGAGCAGTCCCAGGGGGCACCACAGTCACAGAGGGAAGCACCGGGCCCCCACACAGTGCAGGCAGGCAGGCAGGCTCCAGGGAAAGAAAAAGTTCAAGCTCACCACTTCTTTGGGTTTTTTTCCCCTTCTATGGAGCCTGCCTTCCCAGGCTGCTGCTAGGCTATCTGCACGGTCTGCCTGCATAGCCCCTGAGCCACCTAGAGCCCGGTACTTCCCTCCGTGGCTGTAGGGTAGG